TACGAACGCACAGTGGGGAGAGACCTTACAAATGTCAACAATGCAGGAAAGCCTTTAAGCATTCCTCGGCGCTCATTGTGCACCGGAGGATTCATAATGGGGAGAGGCCTTATAAATGTAAGCAGTGTGGAAAAGCCTTTACTCAGTCCTCGTCCCTCACTGCCCATCAGCGAACTCACAGTGCAGAGACCCCTGATCAAAGTCAGGCGTGTGGGACGGCCTTTAGGTGTTCCTCAGACCTTACTCTGCACATGCAGACTCACGGTGGAGCCTCGCCCTTTCAGTGTAAAGAATGCAAGAAAGTGTTTAAAGGTTCCTCAGCACTGACCCTACACAGAAGGAGCCATGGTGGAGACAGGTCTTATCCGTGTAAAGAATGTGGGAAAGTTTTCCCTCGCTCCTCACAGCTCACCCGACATTTGCGCGCTCACAGTGGCGACAGGCCCTATCCGTGTACAGACTGCAAGAAAGCCTTTAAGCATTTCTCGGCGCTCAACTTACATAGAAAGATTCATGACGGAGACCGGCCTTTTAAGTGTAAGCAATGTGGGAAAGCGTTCATTTGCTCCTCCCGGCTCACCAGACATTTGCAAAATCACAGCGCAGACAGGCCTTATCTGTGTGAGGAATGTGGGAAAGCCTTCAAAGATCACTCAGCACTCGGTGTACACAGGAGGATTCACAACGGAGACAAACCTTGTCGATGTCAGCAATGTGGGAAAGCCTTCATTTTCCCCTCCCATCTCACGGTTCACATGCGAACTCACAGCGGAGACAGGCCCTATCGGTGTAAGGAATGTGGAAAGGCCTTTTCCACCTCCTCAGCCCTCACCACTCATATGTGGACACACAGTGGAGAGCGGCCGTATGAATGTCAGCAGTGTGGGAAGGCCTTTGGCCAAGCCTTCAAACTTAGAAAACATCAAAGGACTCACAGTGGAGAGCGGCCTTATGACTGTGAGGAATGTGGGAAAGCCTTCAGGGATTCCGCCAAACTCACTGTACATAGAAGGGTTCACAGCGGAGAGAAGCCTTATAAATGCCAGCACTGTGGGAAAGCCTTCACTTGTTCCTACCTTCTCACTAGGCATTTGCAAGCCCACAGCGGAGGAGACAGGCCCTATCGGTGTAAGGAATGCGGGAAGGCCTTTTCCACCTCCACGGTCCTCACCATTCATATGCGGACACACAGTGGAGAGCGGCCGTATGAATGTCAGCAGTGTGGGAAGGCCTTCAGCCGGGCCTTCAGCCTCACGAAACATCAGAGAACTC